ATTCCCATGTTATTACGGTGTATCCATATAAATGGCCCACCCTGTATTTTACAGGTTTCGGTATCTACTTTCTGAAAGAGAAGAATTATTAGAGAAGTACTACATTGTCTGCAAAAACTAACACCATGGTATAGCCAAACTGAGATGACTCATGTTTCATAATGCATCTCTGTATACAGTTCAGTATGAGTTTCTTTATGAAGACAAACTCCCCCACACACTGTCATACTCATGAAGGCTGCTATAAAGATGAGGATGTGACGAACATGCTTGTGTTTAACACTGCAGGTTAACAGTGGCTAGTCAAAGAGCACTTAAGAGCTCCCTGGGAGTCTTTAGTCATGCACACAGAAAAAAACAAAAGTCCAATCACAGAGATCCTACTCGTCTCGTCAGCGTGTCAGAACAGCAGCTCCACACTCGGCCACATTAGCCCTTCACATTAAGAGCTCATGAATGCATTTACATCTCTGGGATCATTAACCAAAGGATTCGCTCCACTGCATTCACATCACCTCTTTTTTATTTTTATCAGCATGTCCAGCATCACTCTTGATATCGGCATAGTCATCATAACCACTATCATCATCATTTTAGTACTATTTTTTATTTTTTGTGTGTACGTCTTCTGTTTACTTTTATTTTCAACTGGCTTCATTGTTTATGACGACTCTGCCTTAAACAACATCAAATAAACTTTAGCTCATTATTGTTCACATTACCGATGCATGACTCTTCTAACACCTACCATATACTGACCTTTGCTGATGATGCCACAGTCATTGGCCTGATCAGCACTGAGGATTAGAGAGCATACATAAATAAGGTGGAGCAGTTGACAGCCTGGTGGACAACGAACAACCTCACTGTGAACAGAGACAAAACTAATGAGATTATCATGGAGTTCTTCCACAGCTGACCTTTAGTGGTAGGGAGGGTAAAGTGCACTAAGTTTTGGGGAATGCATCCATTGTGTAGAAGGCAAAATTCTCTCCACCTTCTTCATAAATTGACCCACTCGAGCACTAACAGTGTTTTAGAGAGGAACCATTGAAAGCCTATTTACATACAGCATCACTTCATGGCTTGAAAACAGCAGGAAAGAGACAAACAGAACAGGATTGTGAAAAAGCCTTGCTTCCATCTCTGTCTGATGTCTACAACCAGTACTGCATTATCAGAGGTTGCATCATCATAAATGATGCCTCCCATCATTCTCACAGCCTGTTCTCACTCCTGCAGTCAGGGATAAGGTAAGCATTTGCATCAGGACCACAAGAGTGGCAAATAACATCTTCCCCACCATAATCAGACTACTAAACTAAAACATGTGACTCTGATTTCTGGACATAAACTTTCTATTATGCAGAAGATTTTATTCTGCATTTTATTCTACACTGTCTTTAATTAGACACAGTTATTGTAGTTATTAATGTTCATATGGCACTTATATGTTACATTAAATGCTTATTTGCCTAGAGCAAGCAGAAATGTTATTTTATTTTTATGCATAAAAAGAAATTGACGAATAAAGTAAAGCTCAGTTCAAATAGGTGTTGGCTGCAAAGTGAGTGCTGACTATAGTTAATGGTGCTATATAACCATAGCACCATTAACTTTCTGACTGGTCCCATACAAGCTTAAATTTCACTTTGCAATTGTGTCAAATTACCCAAGGAAACTAAATCTGGTCCCAAACAAGGAAGTGGATATTTTGTTTTACTGGGAACTATTAGTAGCTTTTCTGTGGGTAGAGTGTGGAAACTGAAAAATGAAGCTGAATGAAAACTGTATTCTTTCTAATGGCCAACAGGAGGTGACTCATATCCTTGATTTATGATCTCATTAACCACTTTTCTGATGAAGTTATGGTCCCAATTGCGCGGCAGATTAACAACCTGTCCTCTTGCCCTGCGACAGCTGGCTTTGGAAGAGGCTGGATGGGCAGTAAACCATGTTTTTTGTCAAGGTTGGCCTAACTTGTGTGAGTGTGCAGTTTCCTTCGGTTTCTAATAGTCCACCGCTCTTTCCACCAAAATGATGTTGGACAAAATGCTGAGCTCACAGATCACTAACCAGCGTCTGATGTCACAGTGGCTACATCCCCTTTTATATAAACCGCCACTAAGTCTGATGTTATTAGCCATTTCTGGGTCCAAACTCTTCTTCTGTTCCCAGACTCAAGCAAACACTGTGCATCGATGTGTCATGTACTATGTACTTGTACTAACCCCCACTTCAACATCCTGTCCCAGAATAGACACAGGCCATGTAGCTGTCGTCTTGCTTCTAAATTTGACCGCCATCTCTCCAGATGGCGTTCAAATATGGAGCAACCCTGGAGGTCCCTCTCCGGGGTCTGCTTCTGTCCATTGAGCCTCTCTAATAGCCAACTCGATCTCCCAGGTCAGGGCCCCAATTACACAGGTGGGCGGTAGAATGGGAGAGTCCCGAGTTGCGTCTTCAGAGGTGGCGAATTGGCGTGAGAGGGCGTCTGGCTTGACATTACGGGAACTGGGTCTGTAAGTGATTGTGAACTGGAAACTAGGAAAAAACAGGGCCCACCTGGCTTGCCTGGCGTTGAGGCACTTTGCCGATCAAATGTACTCCAGGTTCTTGTGATCGGTCCAGACCACAAACGGCTGGGCAGCGCCCTCCAGCCAATGGCGCCACTCCTCCAGAGCTAGCTTGATGGCTAGTAGCTCTCGGTCTCCCACATCATAGTTGCTCTCTGCAGAGGTGAGACGGCGTGAAAAGTAGGCACAGGGGTGAAGCTTATCACCTTGCTGCTGGGAAAGCACCGGCCCCACTCCAGCGTCCGAGGCGTCCACCTCTACAACGAACTGCAGGTTGAGGTCGGGTTGGACGAGAATGGACACCGAGGCAAAGCGGTCCTTCAGATGAGCGAATTCTTGTTGAGCACGGTTCATCCCAGCAGAAGGGAACCTTGGGAGAAGTAAGATGGGTCAGAGGCAGGGCAAGTTTACTGTAGTCGCGAATAAAGCGACGATAGAAGTTCGCGAACCCCAGAAAGCTTTGTAGCTGTTTATGGTTAGAGGGGGTCGGCCAGTCAACAGCGGCTTGGACCTTCGTGTGATCAGTCGATGATGTGGCCCAGGAAGGAAACAGTTGAGATATGAAACTCACACTTCTCCCATTTAACAAAGAGACGATTCTCAAGGAGACACTGAAGGACTTGCCTGACATGGCGTATGTGTTCTGTGACAGAGCGGGAGAAGGTGAGGATGTCATCCAAGTAGACGAAAATGAAGTGGTCAATGAAATCCCGGAGAACGTCGTTCAGCCTGAAACACAGCTGGTGCATTGGTGAGACCAAAAGGCATTACAAGATATTCGAAATGGCCCAGGTGAGTATTGAAAGCCGTTTTCCACTCATCCCCCTCCCTTATTCTCACCAGATGGTAGGCGTTGCGCAGGTCCAGCTTTGAAAAGATAGTGGCCCCCTGGAGAAGCTCGAACGCGGAACTCTGCAGCGGGAGGGGATACTTGTATTTAACTGTGATGGCATTGAGGCCACGATAGTTGATACAGGGCAACTCTTGTCCTTCTTACTGACAAAAAAGAAACCGGCTGCAGCAGATGTGGACGAGGGACGAATGAGACACGCGGCAAGGGATTCGTTGATGTATCCCTCCATGCTCTCACGCTCAGGTTGGGACAGGCTCTACAACCTACTAGTCGGGAGTGGTGTGCCTGGGAGGAGGTCAATCCCACAGTCGTACGGCCGGTGGGTGGGAAAGGAGTGTGCCTTATCCTTACAAAACACCAGTGCCAGGTCGTAATAAACAGACGGCATGGAGGACAGATCTGACGGTTCTGAGATCGCTGAATTGATTGGTGGGTTCATGGCGGGGGTGGCGGCTTTTAAACAGGGCAGTGTAACTGTATGACTTCAGAGAAACAGAGCGTGCTGATCAGCGTGCAGCTGATCCGCCTGGCCGTGACAAATAGTTTTTCCTTATACTTAGTCTAGTTTTACTCTTTGAGCTTTGTGTTTCCTTGGATTTTGCATTCCTGACAATAGAGGCTACTTTCATTAAAGAGACATTAAGAATAACCAAACTAAATGTAGACGTCAGAATGAAGACACGTTTTTCTGTTATCGTCTTAGTGTTTTTAAGAAACAGGACAGCTGCTGAAGCCTTTTCTGCCAGGTTGCCTGGGCGGATCACCTCCTCTCTGAACTACAACTGGGCTTCTGATAAGAGATCTTTTAATATTACTCCCGACTTCAATATCAGAGGATTGCAAGGTTGCCAGGCAGGGATATTGAGCGAAAGCTAAGAGTTTCTCCCTTTCGGCTTGGCCCGGCATCAAAACTTATTAGATAGATAAATGAGAGCTGGACTTGTGCCGGAGCGGGCCTCTTTCTGTGCCTGTGTGTCATTTATTCGTCCCCTGAATAAAGGCTCCATCAGATAGTGGGTAGCCTTTCATGGCGGCCTCCATCTCTCTGCATCTGTTGACCCACTGCGGCACAGTCGGGATAATTTGGGCTGCTTTGGCGGCTCTGAAACAGCACTTTCCCTTTGAAACAGCTTTTGTTAGTTTTGTTCTTTCTTACCAGATAAACCTCAGATTTAGAGGTTAGGAAGCATATATGTGGTTCTTCTACTCTATTGGGCATTTTGTTATCTTATTTATCAAAGCAAAGAAGCCTTAAAAACCCTTTTTATAAAGCATTTCTTTGTTATATGAGGCTTTACAGCAAAATAGGAGGCTTACTTTTTTATCGTACATGGTTGGATGATGTGAGTGGTATTTATAGCATTGTAAGAATTAAATATTGCTTCTACACAGTAGAGCGTCTGTCATTGTCTATCAGAATTAAGCTCAGGTCCTTGAAAAAAGCATTTCCTTGACTAGTTTCCTGTAACCATGGTAATAGGAAGCCCTCTCCGATCACGTTTTTGTACTGTATGTCAGGGAAGTGAACAGCTTCCTGCTGTTTTCACTGGCTTCCTCTCCACTGGTGTGAACTCAGGATTCCGCATTAGGTCCTGGAAAGCTGTGCAGCTTTTAACCACAGCTCTTGTTGTGAGCAGTTTTTTTCTGTTTTCTGCATTTTCTAATGAATTTGCCCTCAACGCAGTCACATTTGAATGACGTAAGTTTAAACTTTCTTGTAAAAATTTAGACCAAACAGGAGTTTAGGCAGTGGCAGTTTCAAGATTTCATTTTTATTTCTTATGTTTTCAATACTTTTCAGGTGATTACTCGAGTGAACAAAACCAGTGAGATCAATTAATTTCTCTAATAATGTGATTTTGAAGCTTTATCTAAATTTATTTTCATATCACTGCTCAGTGGGACACGAGAGCTGCATGTATAAAATCAGCTGTCAGCTCTGACTTTAAAAATCTTTTAAAGATTTGCTAACTTTGCCCTAAAGTAAGGTTTTAAAAGTCATACTTAAAGCACCTTCATCTTTGCTGTTGTGTGATTCTGCATTCGGGATTCTTCATTGACATGTCTCGTCTCTTCTACACTCTCTGGCTATTTTGTTAGCTACGTCTTGCTAGTTCTAGCTGGGCTCCCTTTGATCTTCACTACTACATTAGTTCACATAGATTCAACAAGATGCTGGAAACATTCCCCAGAGATTTTTGTCCATATTGACATTATAGCATTAAACAGTTACTGCGGATTTGTCGGCTGCACATCCATGATGCAAATTTCCTGTTTTTCCACATTCCAAAGGTGCTCTCACCAGAATCAGATCTGTTGACTTTGGAGGTAACAGTGAATTGCTTGCCACATTCAATAAACGAGTTAAGATTATTTGAGACATGATGTATTATAATGGCAGAACTGTGGTCATAAAGGGGTGGACATGGTCAGCAACAATACTCAGGTAGGCTGTTGTGTATAAACAGCACTCACTTGGTTGTAACGAGTGGTTATTTCAGTTACTGTTGCCATCGAATCAACTCCAAGCAGTCTGGCTATTCTCCTCTGACCTCTTCTAGCATCAACAAGATATTTTCACACAGAGAAAATGCTGCTCACTGGATATTTTCTCTCTGTAAAGCCCAGAAATGATTGTGTGGGAAAATTCCAGTAGCTCAGCAGTTTCTGAAATACTCAGCCCAGCCTGTTTGGCACCAACAACCATGCCATGTTCAGTGTCACTTAAATCACCTTTCTTCCCCATTCTGATACCCAGTTTGAACTTCAGTCGATCATCTTAACCATGTGTTTTTGACTAACTGTATTAGGTTGCTGCTGTGTGATTGGCTGATTGCTGCTGTTAAAGTGGTCAATGGGCATAATGTTTCCGATATAACATATTAAATATACTATATTAAACATGGTCTGTGTTAGTTTTAGATTGTTTTTTTAAACTCTTGAATCTTTAGGAATCAATAGAGATGGGATAAGCAAGACAAGCACAGAGATATGTTGGCAACTGCCTGGTAACCACTGGTTGTTTAGATACCCACCACTATAAAGTCTGTGTTTGGGTTACTGTGGTAATAGTCTGTTGGGTTCACAGTAAGTGAGTGGATGTCTTTTGTCCAACCTCTTATTTAGACATCTTCCTCTCACAAACCTAATGGATTCTTTCCAGTGATAAGGCAGTGTTATACATGTGGAAAAAAAAACTGTAGAGGGAATATTCTGCCATTGTCTGCAGTGAGAGTGAAAACATCTTAGAATGACAGTGAACTACATAAAAGATAACAAAAGCATATCAGACAGAGCAGGCATACAGAGAAAGTTTATTTTATATTTCAGAGAGACTAAAAACCACTTCCTGGGGAGTCACGAACACACTTGCGAGAAAGAAATGGAGAACTGATTTACATCAAGCTGCACTCCATTACTCCTCCTCACTGGATCAAACTGGCAGCGATGCAGCTTGGTCATCCAGTCACCATCAGCACTTCTCTCCAAATCCCTCCCCAACCTCACAGTCTGATATCCAGGAGCCGACACCCATTCCTGCTGGACTCCATCCAGCCCGTGTTGGTCAGGGCTATCATCAATCCAAAACGGGGGATGGAGGAACCTCTCCAGCCGCAGACTCCACAAAGCCCCAGTAACTGCAGCTCATCGGGACCTGGTGGGAAATCCTGCTGGAGTTTAGACCTGAGGGTGGCTATTCTTCTGCTTACTCTGGCAGGAGCAGTAATCCTCCTGCTGCTGTACAGACTGTTACAGCTGAGACACAGGTGTGTACATGTGTAATAACATGTAGCCAAAAGGTAAATTGATGTCAGGCTTGTTTGGTAAGTCATCTGTGTGCGTCTTGACCCAACTCAGTTTGGCCTCAGAAATGGGATCCGAGTTTTACCACTATATTTATTTGGTGTTATGTTTTCTTCAGGCTGAGGATGGCCAGAGCGAGGCATGCTTTGGAGTACACCAGCTTCTACCACAGTGGCACCTACACACTCAAACACCCCACACCTTGTCAGGAGCTGCCAGAGAAGAACAGGGCAGTACCTGAAGACACTGCACCACTCCAAACCATAACCTCAGTGACACCTGCTGTCATCACCCCAGTGCCACCTCCATCGCTGCCCTCACCGGCACCCCCTCCACTGCCACTCCCCCCACCTCCTGTCCTACCACGTCCACCTCTTCACCCTCCAGTTTCTCTCCCTCCAACACCCCCTGTCCTGTCACTCCCTCTTCCCGTGCCTGTCATCCACACCACCCCGCCCAGCCCTCACCTGTCATGGGGTGCCTGCTCAGATGCAGATGTTTATTCTCGGATTGGGACTTTCAGGCCATCCAGGCTTTCCAACCTCTCCAACCAGTCGACAGTCATCCTGTTTGAACACTCATCTGTTTGAACTCTCACAGAATGTGTGTGATCTCCTCAAGGAGTCTGTGACTGTGACAAGGATTACAAAATGTTTCCTGTACTCTATGTTTGTGTGTGTAATATACAGCAAAATATAAGAGGTTAATGTTTCAAAACTTTAAAACATGAAGTTTGCACTTTGTCAGCCACTGAAGGGCTTTATTGACAAAAAAAAGAAAGAAAAAAGCAGATGCAATAAAATTGCAATTTAATTAAAAACACCTCTATTATAACCATGTTTTTTTCTTAACTGGATTGTGACGTCAGGAGGACAGATGAAACCCTCCACTTGTCCAAGAAGCAGGACTAAAAAACTACCAATAGCAGATGAACACTATGTAAAACAGGGCTTATGAATACATTGACTTTTTGGTGGAGGATTTCAGAAGCGAGGTACAACAGTGAACATCTACAGTCATCTGTAAAACATGGCAGAAGGTTGCATTTCAGTCAGTGGTGTCAGGGAATGTGTTAAAGTTGATGTGAATGCAAAAAAAGCACAGCCAGATCCACCAATCAGAACCATTTGGAAGCATCTGATTGACAACAGCTTCATTTCTCAGCATGACAGGGATCCCATGAAAAGAAAAAATTAAGAATTTGAAAATTCATGGATTAGAATGAGTGTAGGCAGCACGGTGGCACGGTGGTTAGCACTGTTGCCGCACAGCAAGAAGGTCCTGAGTTCAATTCCACCATCAGGCCGGGGTCTTTCTGTGTGGAGTTTGCATGTTCTCCCCGTGTTTGTGTGGGTTCCCTCCAGGTACTCCGGCTTCCTCCCACCGTCCAAAGACATGCAGCTTGTGGGGATAGGTTAATTGGAAAATCCAAATTGCCATTAGGTGTGAATGTGCGAGTCAATGTGAGTGCGAATGGTTGTCTGACCCTGTGTGTTGGCCCCGCGACAGACTGGCGACCTGTCCAGGGTGTACCCCACCTCTCGCCCTATGACAACTGGGATAGGCTCCAGCGCCCCCCGTGACCCTGAAAAGGAGAAGCGAAAGTGAATGGATGGATGGATATAATGATTGTATTTTAGAGTTTAAAATAGTTTGATCAAAGACCTTTCAATCCTGGTGGATTAACCATTACAGAAACATAAAAAATAAATAAGTTACCTATGCTGTTAATTTAGGGCAGATATGGCATAACGCTTGCATTTTGTGGTGTCCTCATAAGTTTGTTAAGCACTGTATAACGAGTCCATCACCAGGTAGTTAGTAACACATTTTTGTGTTTTCGTTGTGTGACCACATTCAGGTGTGAATAAGAAATTCTGCATTACATACTTCATCGTGCAGATTGAGAAAATACACACCCTGTTATTTGTCTTAAAATATTGTAATATAAAAAATAATAATAATAACGACATTTTTAAATATTAAAAAAATAACCATGATCCCTAGTCCCTTTAGCTATCTAGTGATCACCTAATGATTAACTCACTATTACTTTCTGCCTCTTTCTGTGGCTCCTTAATAATGAGCATCATAACTTACAAAATGATCATTTTGTTTTCTTTAAAACTCGACGACAGTGTTTAGGAAAATGTTCACTACCATCATAAATCAAGAGACCTGTAGGTTCATTTTCTCATATTCTCCTGTACATTCTGATGTTTAATGGCCTCCTGAGTTAGAAATATGGGATTAATGTCAATGCCATCCTTCCAGCCCTCTCACCTGGATGCTGTTAGTCTCCTAAAATGAGACTGTTATCTCTTAGTGGCTAATACTGTTTAATCCTTCCATGAAAAATGGGGATTCAAGTAAACAGTGCATGTATCATCAAATTTTAAGAGGAACTTTAACTAATGATAGAAGTCATGTATATGTATAACCATGTATAATTTCTTCTGCATGAAGTAGTTCTGAAGTTTGAAGGATTCTTAAAGTGGATATGCAACATTTCAAAATGAAGAACTTTGATTAATATTCAACACATCCAGAAAACAAACACATTCATATTCATCCTTGCCTGACATTTCCTCATTTTATTTAATTGCCTCTGCTGTATATTGTTACAAATGTCTTTCCTCCTCAGCTTACAACCACTTACGAGACATTGCAGAAGCGCATGCACATATTGAATTAACTGGCTTTTAGAATGGAGACCGTGACCCCACGAGCAGACTTGTATGCAGAAATGACTAAAGATACAAGGTACACAAGGTTGCAGTTTTCACCCCAGCAGGCAGAGAGCAACAAACAACCATCAACTAAAACAGCTTCCCTTTACAAACTAATGTTGAATTATAAATGAGAGGTTGGTTGGAAAAAACATATTGAAATATTGAAGAAAAATTCACCTTGTTAATGTGGCCACTAAGATCACCATAGAAACAAGATGTTAGATGTCAGACGTTGCCTTTGTGCCAATGGGGCTTTTTAATATGTGCTAACTTCATCCACTGGGGAAGAGCACTAATGAAATAGTTAAGAGTTGAGCGATTGCATTGTTAAACATACGGTTTAATAATCATGTTTGAATTTTTTGCTGTTAAAGGCTTATATTACTAAATGAAGCAAAAGCTTATGATACAGAAAGAGACAGAGGGGGGGCATGAATGCAAAGAATGGTGTGAAACAGGGAGGGACGCTGCCATGAAAACCCAGCTCAGGAAATACCTCCCAACTGAGGAAACAATGAGCTCTGCTACTGCAACAATTCAGTAAAAATGGTTAAGATAAACAGGTTAGGAGCGCTACGTTTCCAATCGGGCAGTAGTTTATTTATTACAAACCACTTGAGTTTTGCATTGTGGAGGGCACCCTGAAGTAATTAAGTGCATGGTGTTATTCATGCAAAGTAAGAAAATATGTCAAAAGTTGTCAGTATTCCAGTTATCAGCATAAAAACTAGACTGAAAATGAGTGAAAAGAACATAATTGTTCTTTTCAAACTGGTCAGTCTACCTGTAACTTAGCTGCACAAATCTAGTGATACCTCAAATCTCAGCGCAGGGAAATTTGATTAATGAGGCAAACTGACCTCTACAGGCAATATTTGATGCTGGTGTGTTTTGTTGCTTACAGTGAATTTCCTGTTTGGCCAGATAAAGCTTTCTGCTTAGCCAGCATTAGCTTAAGTAATAAAGTGGACAACTTGGCATTCATTGTAGCAGCTAGCTGGCTAACATTATCTCTAGAAAAATGCTGTCTCTAGCCACAACAATCTTCATTGTCTTTAGTTAGTGATCAATGGACTCCATAAGCTATCATAAACTAGTGCTGCTCAATGATGAAAATGCAAACAGAGGTGATTTTCTTAAAAAAAAAAGAAAAAAAAACTAGGGAACAAATAAAAAACAAGCAAGCAAACAAAAATAGCTAAGAGGCTGTTAGAGGAAACTGTATGTCAGTGTGATACAAGCCAATTTAAATGCTCCCATTTTCATATTAACATTCACATCAGAGTTATTAGTAGTGAAATACTGAAGTACTCCTATTCGTTAAGTTAATCACTGAATAGCATATTGCTTGTGCTGAGAATCACTGGATTAAAAGCATATAAACTATTAGGAGGAATAGATCGATTTTAATTACATGTACACCGATCAGCTCAGCAGCCACAACTGATCCCTAGAAGGTCAGCTGAATTGATTATTGCTACACTGGATTTAAGGGAACCTTATGAGATTAGGTAAGATCACAAGCTTATTTCCTGCAAGAATTTCTTTCCCAAAAGGTAACACGGGTAGCACAAGTGCATGTTCTTCTGCAAGGCGGCATATTTTGTAGAAATATGTGACTATATAGCTAATGAATGTTGTCTCTTGGTGTTTTGTTTTGGGGTTTTTTTGACAAGAAATGTTTAGATAGAAAGAAAGATAGTTAATGAATATAATTCATACAGACTGTCATGGGCTTTTGACCCAACATTTTGAGTTTTGGAATGTTTTGAGTTTTCTGTGAGCTCATGAGCTCTATATCTATATCTCTATATCTAGTTCTTTCAACATAACATAACATATTGTCTATGTATCCTGTTCATGGGGTCTGTAGGTTTGCACTCCTTTTAAATAAAAAAAGAGAAAACTATTCAATATACTTCAGGTATTTATGATAATTATTATCTATAACAGTGAGTAAAAGTGTTCTAAATCTTGCTTGGCTCTGTCTGACTGGTAGGAACAGTGTTTGCAGTGCTAAATAAAATGAAATACAGTTTCTGTCCCTACTTAACTCATGTAACTGTGTATCAGATCGAGGATCATTACTTACTGCGTCATAGTCACCATTTGCTGGAACGAGTGTGTCGACGATCACACAGTCCAGTGACCGGGTATCGATGACTTCACACATCATACACTACAATTTTAATGCATTGAGTTTAACAGATTGGACATCCCTATCTTGTTTTTGTAAACCAGATGGCACAAGAGAGGGTGTTTATAACTTACACTTTCATTCCAAAAGACTACAGATGGGTTTTTAGGTCAGTACAGCTAGTTTTGATTTCTGTGCCACACAGTTTATTGAAAGTTATAAAAAATATCAAACATTAAAGACCTTATCCTTTCCTAAAAGCTGCATGCTGTGTTTTTGTTATCGCCTAAAAACAAACGTGGTGTTAAACAATGAGGAAATGCTGAAAGGTAAATCTCAGTTACCGCTGGAATCACACAGCCAAATTCCAGAGAAGATTGCTGTCAGCTGTCGGCAATAAAAACAGACTTCCACCTTCACAAAGTTTATATGTGTCCCAAAACATCCATACAGGCAGATTTAAGAGGCAGATGGAAAATGTCATGGATTGATCCATCCTTAATAACACAGGATGAGGATGCGTGGAAATTGCTTTCCCAAGCGACATAGACAATATTGTGCTTTGAACATCGAGAGAAATTTTCCATTCCTCTGAAGGAAAACAAAAAGGCTGTGCTATGACTCTGACGTTTTCGTCTTCCTTTCATTGTTTAAAAATGAACCAGAATGCATGGACAAAACTACAGTGGGAGAAATGACGACTGCTTTTTTAAAATTAGTGACTAAATGCAAAAATCTTTGTGGAATCTATTTTTCCTTTGAGTTCAGTTCATTTTTAATTTTTCCAACAGCATGTTCTTTTCTTTATAATTATCAATATTCACCATTTCAATTGATGTAGCAAAGAACTTCAGAAATCCTTAATAACTTAGTTATTTCCTATCTTATAATCACCTCATTTGGTTGATGATTAAGCTTTTCTTTAAATGAAATTTTACTTGCCTGGGTCCACACTATAGACTGTA